GTAGGACGAAATATAAAAATGGTGAAAATAGGATGAGAATCATGGCTAGTATGTAGCTCCAAAAATCAATGAATTAGACCTCATCGGACCCATTAAGATCTGGCAACTGAATTGAGTCAATTGGGGCTCGAACTGCGATCAAATGACTGCGACGTCGCAGACGTACTTGGCCCGAAGAAATAAGCTCACCGGGTGTCTGATAATTGGCCGAGGATGGAGTCTTGATTGATATGCCAAAAACGAAATGTAGCCGGGAAAGGAGCAAAATAAGAATAAAAAAGAGAAAAGACATCGAAGTTAACATAAAACAGCTATTTTCAATTAAACTCAACCAATATAAGTGAATATGATTTAATAAAGCAACTTAATTGGCTGGAAATCAAATACAAGATTGAACTAAGAGTGTAACATGATCGGGTATCAAGTAAATAGCCCAAATGATAAGCATAATGACCTAGTCTGTTCTTATATCTTCGAATAAAATGGGAATTTTGAAGAATCTCCTGAGATAAGATTGCTATGACGACTTACATTCCGAATGGAAGTGCATGATTAAGAGATTCGTAGATCAATCTCCCCACAAAACGCCGGCTGTACTGCAGCCTTTTGGCTTTATATGACGTTCAGGATATTGCAATACATGAGACATCCTTTAACGTATCGAGTGAAGAGGGCCTTAACCTTCATTTTTCATTTGACGAACATTAGCAAAACTGGGACTCATTCTTGCAAACGCCTCGAATTAACACTAAATCAAGAAAACTGACCGGCTTCTTTCGATGTTATATATATATATATATATATATATACTCATTGGAAGAAAGATTTTATATATAGATGGATATAGAAAGGTTTAGGTATTTCGAGTTTGCCTTTGTGTATGCACGTTAACGTCGGTACGCAAAACTGACCATGACTCAGAGTAATTAGAAAAAAGCTCAACGTCAGTCCCGTGTGATCAAGTCTTAATGAACCAAGTGCAATCATTGCTGATATTGTGTAGTCCTACACATTTGTTTTGGTTGATGGGCTTGACATTCCTGCTGAACGAGTGTGAATCCGAAAATTCCCTCCATATTCTCAGAACGCTCATCCGGGGTGGGCATTACAGCCTGAAGGCACCTTGAACTGGAATATTTGTGTACATTTATTCCACGTCAAAACTTACTAATATGTCTTCTGAAATAGTTTGCTAGCCCAATAGTTTAACAAATTCATAAGAGTTTTGCCCGAAAATAAACAAAATTTTGCCTTTTTTCTTAATTTTTTACATTAAAAGTACTTGTGTATTTAAATTACATTGATAAGTATAAGCTATTAATGAAAGATCATATAGATAGACTTAAAACTAGGCTAAGAGATGCTTTGAAGGTATGCGTAGGTAGTGGGGAAATGGAGGAGCGGAAAATGAATTCCCTACTTTGAAGAGATGCCAAAGCACCCTCGGCTTATGGCATTCCAGAGGTGCATAGAGGAGTTTAGTCTTAGATTGATTGTAAAGAATAAGCATAAAATACCACGTTTTTATGCATATAATTAGTTCACGACTGAACTAGAAGAAAATAATGACCTTTATTCAATGTTATAATTATTAGGGAAGATGGCAGGTTAGGAAGAGATGTTGATAGGAAGGCGGCATATGGTAGTTTTGTTAATTTTCTTTCTAAGCATAGCTATAAAACTAAGGTTAGAATTTTTTATCTATGACTTTTTAATCTATGGCTTGCGGATGACAATCATCTGACCGAAGAGTTAAGATGACTGAAAGTTTTATTCCTGGAGAATTCCTTTGGGCTTAATTGATAATAATATCTCTTTAATGATAAATAAATCTTCAGAAGAAGACTATTTGGTCAGAGAGAGGCAAACCGAGATCCTTTATTATGTTCAAATCTTGCCGTCATGTTTTATTTCTACGAAGATAGGAGAACTAATTAGGAAGTGAGAGATAAAGACAATTTTCAAAGACTTTCTGGTACTTTCTTCCGTTATGACTTCTTTTAGGGAGAAATATAACCCACTACCAAGATCAGGAATGTTACAAAATTATGTACTCCTGTGATCAACCTTATATTGGTGAGACCCGTTGACAGATCCGCCAAAGATTAGCGGAGTACAAAAGTGCTGGTAAGGGCAGTTTGGTCAAACGATCATAAGTGGCTGAACATAGAGAAGCAGAGGTTTGCTTATAATGGTATGTCTGATATGAAACGGAAGATAAGAGAGGCTACTGAAATCAATAGATAAAGGAATAAATTGAATGTGAGGAATGATGGTAGAGTTGAGTAAGAAATATTTATCGAAGATGGTGTAGCCTTTTGTGTGGTCGCAGTCTCCCTTCGTTGTATAGAAGTTGTTTGACCTTGTTTTCGCAACTCGGTCATATTGGTAGGAAG